TGATCAAATCCTTTAAACTATTCTACTTATCAACTGGGATTCTTAACATCATTTCAAACAAATCTAACTCAAAACCCAAAAAGGTCAGGGGAGTGGAAGGCCACACTGTTTTATCATCAGCTATTGAGGGGACACCTAACTGCTCGCATAGCCCCACAAAGAATGACATGAGTTCATCACATGTATTCCTACCTGCCCTACCAGGAAACCAAAAATCATCTAAGTAATGCACAACAGATTTCTGACCAGACTGTTGCTTCAATAACCATTCCAAATATGATGAAAATTCCTCAAAAAGACTACAAAACACCACAAAATATTTATTTAAATCCTAAAAGCTCAAAGATTTGCCGGGTGAACAGGAAGCAACCTAAATGCAGACTTGAGGTCCATTTTTCCCAATTCAAGGCCCCCTTACCCAACAAACTTAGTAACCTAATTGCATCATCTAATGAGGAGTAATTGACTGAGGAGAAAGATGGATCAATAAAGGAATTAAGACTCAAGTTTTCCGGTTAAGATAAATGATGATTCAACTTAAATGATCCATCTTTTTTCAGTACTAAACCTACAGGTGAATTAAAGCCTAAGACTGGGAAAGGGTTTTGAATGGAATGGGCCAGTAACTCTTCCAGCATAATTTCAAAAACTTTTTTTCAGAATTTCAAGCTTATTATCCCTAGCTGACTTTAAATCAAAACAATTAGTAACTACCCTTTTGACCATGAATTTAGAAACCTTCATAAAACCTCTTTGGCAAAATTTCTGAACTCTTCCTATTATAATCAGTTTTGTAAATAAGCTGCATAAACTTCTACTTTAAATGGGGAATAACCTAGGTCCTGCAGATTGTGGTGCACTGGGGAATCATGCTCAAGGCTGGGGTGGTCTTGATGAAAGTCTCTGGTTCCTGTATTATAATGGGTACCTTTGACCTGTTGTATCAACATGATTGGCTGTCTCTACATTGAAATCGGATTCATTGCTGGAACTAGTGGAAAAAGTAACCACACTTGTAGTAACCATGGTAACAATAATGTCTGTACAGGGTACGTTTTCCTCTGACGAAACTTCTGTAGATTCGACCGATCCCACTTTTTGGTTTAGGCCCGCTCGTAGGTGCTGATTTCCGCTTCACCGGCTTGGCAGCGGGTTTAACTTTAGGTATTTTCTGGAACTACCGACTTTGGAATAAGAAATACAATATAGAAATAGGCCTAATAATAAAATTATAATTATTAATATTTTTAATATTGACTCAGCGTTACGACTTCGACAATTTTTTGTAAATAAAATCATTATTATTATATTTTGCTCAAATATTGACTAAGCGTTAGGACTTTTCTGTTTTATATTACGCATGTGGTTTTTCAAAATCGAAAAACATCCGAAAAGTCATGTAGGTAATGATGCAAATACACACGAAAATAAAGATTGCTAGAAACATTCTCCTAAAATTTCATGCATAACATGAATTTTTTAACACAATATAAAATAAATAAACAAATTTTTATCTTGAGATGCAGGATTTGTCTGCTCCCCTTCATTCTCTAACGGAAAAGGAAGTCCTTAGGATTCGACTAAAATACCAAAAGTTGAAAGAACGGGAAAATACTAATGACCCGATAACCCCGAATATGGGCCTCTCTAATAACGCGATTTAATTTTCAGCAATTAAATCGAAATATTGACGTGTCTCAATACATTTGTGCTACAGATAAATCCATAGGTCCTAAAGAGTGCATTGGGATTATTTATCATTTGCTTTGCATATAATCGGAAATTCTTTGTTCATCCTTAGGAAACGGTATTTAATGACAAACAAAGAAGAGAGGCTGTACAAATAGATTTACATACTACAAAGAAAATTTATTAATTTTAAAAAAATATGAACAAAATCAATACGAATTTTTAAAATTTAAATAAACATGAAAGACATTAAAAAATAAAAATTTAAGTAGTTTAAACACATAGTCATGTGTCTGCAACAGTTTTTAAAAGGCAGCATCATCCATCTTATACTAAAAAATTAACAACAAAAAATTCTTCCTTAAAGAATTTTTTTATATAAATAATGTAAGCAATGTTGGACTATAGCTTCAAATTCCAGCTTATTCACAACCAACTTCGATCAATCAAGTTTGAAGAATAAAAACACATTATTGAAATAAAATATAAAATAAAATGATCATAACTAAAAATTAATATTAGTTTTTATATTTACTTAGTTGTGTTAGTAAATATTATTTGATTTTATATTGTACCAATAACCTGCAATGATGACAAATCAAATATTTAGCCTTTAAAGCAGATTTTCGTTAAATGTATCGTAAGAACTCGGTATCGCTGAGTCGCTTGCTAACAATTGATTGACGTGGCTGAGATATGGCATAAATGTGAGTGTTTTGCCGAAGGTCATGTATCTCTGACACTAAACCTTAAAAATAATCGTAATCAGCAGTGTGTGTGGTGGTGTATCGTCTGGTAAAAACTGTGTCAGGAACTGTTTAAGACTTCTCTTATGAGAAGTGGGATAGAGCTGAGATTTTATGAAGAAGCACGAAGGAATCAAACAACATGACTCTTTTGATTTATAGAGATTGAGAAACTGTTATAGATAACCCTACGATGTGTACCAGTTGTAAATAAAGAACACAGATTCCTTCCGAATATCAAATTAATAATTATTCTTTTGCTGACAAAAATGAAAGAAATGTAAACGAAAGTAAATCACACATTAAAAAAAAATTAGTTTTCCTCTTTCTCTAAAACTTACATGTAACATAGATTTAGCATGTATATATTTTTAAAAAAGTACTTTATTACATGTACGTCGCACATCTAGGTAATGCTTAATTCTATAGGTTATAAAAACAAACAAGAAACCAAATTACCATTTATATTTTAAAAACTTAATAACACACTTTTTTATATTCACACACATTATCCGAAGTGTATTTTTGAAGGTGTATAGCAACACCGATATTTGCTGTCTCTGATACATTCAAAACTTGAGCAAGGAAATCAGCTTTTTATCGCTAATGATAAAATTTGAAACGCCTGGTATAACAAATCACACTTATATTAATAGAAATATTAATGTAAGACATGCTTATGATATCACATCAAAAGGAAGCTTGGTTGTGCATTTGATACTCTAACACATGACACTTTTATAATAAGCGTTTATCAAAAAGACCATTGTTCGGCATACTCTAAAACCTGGCCTGGCCCCTTTGGCCTGGCCTGGCCTCTATTTTGGCCTCAAATTTGACTTCAAACCAAATTTTGGCCTGACCTCAAATTTGGCCTCTGTAAAATTTTTTGGCCTCAGTTTTGGCTTCACTCAAAAATAATTTCTTTTTCGGAATTTGATTGATTTTATTGATTTTTTATTGGTTTCATTTTTTCACAGATTAAGCAGGTGATTAATATATTTTTGTTGATATGTAAATGTGAACATTAAAAATAATCATGTACTTCTACATGTACTTTTATTGATTATTAGTTGATCAGTGTACACTTATTTCATTTCATTATTTACAGGTATTTCATACAGACATGCTACCGATACTCTTGCTTATAATTATTTAGAAAAAAAACTATCAGAGTTAATTTTGTGTTTTCCAAATTGTGAACATTGAAAAAAAAATCTGTAGTAATAATTCATGTGAAATGTCATTTATAGCTTTGAAAAATTCCCGCTTGTTAAGTAGATGAATCATCATCTTTCACACACTGTGGAGTGTTGTGTTACTGTTATGCCTGCATCATCTGTGTGATATATGAACACAGGCACCTAAGATTTTTTTTCAAATAAATATACCAAGACAGATACCAAAATATTTATATTATACTGATTTGATTACTCTGTTAAAAATTCATGTTCACTTTAATCTAAGAACAGTTGGTATTTAAAAAGAATTAAGATAAATAACTTTATCAGATAATTTATAACTTTCTGTTCCTGTGCCGTAACACTGTAATTGGATATCAAATGACAAAAAATTCTGCAGCACGGTTTTTGACAGGGAGTTTAAAGGTTGAACTTAATCAGTAATGACATGTATATGTGCATAGGCTGTTAAGCCACCCGTGATTTATAAAGAATTGTCTGCTACAACTTTCACTACCTACAATTATCAAAACAAAAGTTGAGCTTGATGATAGTTTATTAACATTTGTGCTGTAGAACAATTGCATCCTATCCACCAGACCATTAGAACCCTATCATATAAAATGTGGTCAATTACTTGCATGTCATAGTATTGACTCTTTTTTCTATCAGTTTGTAAAAGTAGTCAACATCATCAAACATATTTTTTTATTCAAGTTTTTTAAAAGACAGTTTAAAAAAAACTTGTATTTAACAAGTAATACTTAAAATGGCAAATTATAAAATTCTTTTTAGTTCTTAGTTAATTACTATTCATCTGCATCTCTTTGTTGTCTTGATAATTTAAATGTGATGTTTCTAAATGTTTTACTCTGTAAAACTTATCATTCCTACCATGGAAATTAAAAAAAATAATAAAGGCACATTTAATAAATCATTAAGAGAGTGATTTATTGAAAGTAAAATTATATGCTCTGTGTTATAGTCTTCAGAATTGCAACAGATCAATTGATAATCAATAAAAATAAATCAGATGTGTAGCAGTGTTTAATTATTTTAATTTCCACATTTACATATCAACAGAATTATATTATTTACCTGCTTAATCTGTGAAAAATGAAACCAATAAAAAATCAATAAAATCAATCAAATTCTGAAAAAGAAATTATTTTTGAGTGAAGCCAAAATTGAGTCCAAAGATTTTTACAGAGGCCAAATTTGAGGCCTGGCCAACTTTTGAGGCCATGCCAAAATTTGGTTTGAAGCCAAATTAGAGGCCAAAATAGAGGCCAGGCCAACTTAGAGGCCAGGCCAGGCTATTCCAAAGGGGCCAGGCCAGGCCAGGCCAAAGGGGCCAGGCCAGGTTTTAGAGTATGCCCCATTGTTCTCTTGTATTTTTTTTAATAACAAGTAACATGAAACAACATTGCATGAATTGTTTTATCTTCCAGTTGATTTTACAAGCTATCGTTTTGTGATTGGTCAATATGTTACGCTAAACACCCTACTTAATTATACGATTAACACTTAATTTGTGCCTGTCCCTAAGTCAGTTACATGACCGCCTTAGCTAACTGTCCTGGAGGTCGAATGTTTCCTGCTTTTTATCTAAAACGTATTGTTTTGATATTTCTTAGTACTTATTTATCTAGGATTACATTGTTTTTCCAGATCAAGACGGAGAACTCACAGCGGATGTAACCAACGGACAGCTTATTTTAATCCTCGCTGATTGCACCTGATCCCATGATTTTTTCTGTATTTTTCCCCACTTTTCATGTGTACAGGGATTCGAGTTATTTAATTGTTCCTTTGACATATGTGAAAACATGTCTAAAAGATAAAGAAACTGATTCTTCTCCACATCACTTTTGCTGAAGAAATGCACAATATATTTACTCTGGATTTTAAGAGTGTTGTACATTTTATGTTCTCCAATATATGAACGTAGATTTGAATACTTTTTGTACTTAAAGTCTTTTATTCTATTAAACTGCTTGTTCGCGAAAATTAATCGTCGCTAACTATGTTATTCTCGGTAAATCGCTAAATAAAGTCGTCGCCGCGAATAAAAGTTGGTTTACAGTAACCTGTAAAGTTATAACGAATATTCTTGATGTTTGAAACACATGGATATTCAACATTGTTGGAATTGTCATTTTGATCATCTTTTTTGAAATTGTGAATCAATTAAACCCAGCCAAAGACTTGAGGTTAACACATACTAGGATAATTAAAGATTTCATCGGTTTGAAAGTGAACAGCATGAATCATTTTATAAAAGAAATAAGTCAAAGGTCATATACTTTCATGCGGGAACTCTATGATTTCAAGATTTTCTTTTTTTCTGGATGACATTTATATGAAAAATCAAATAAAAAGGTTTGCCAAAAATTTCAAATATATCAATAGACTATTGGACCTTGTAAGGGAATTGGAAGCTTATAATTTACTTTGAAGTACTAACATGTGCATATATATTTCTTAGTCAAGAAAGCTTTTTTTTAAAGTAAGAATAAAGATATATTAATAGAATTCCTTCAATATTTATTTTACGGACACCCTGATATTTGAAAGGAACTAAACAATTTCAAGAAAAAAGATGGGAAACTGAAAAAAATTTCATCTTTATAATTTCAATGAAGCGTTGAATAAAAAAGAAATGAAATTCCATATCCTTTTTCTTATTTTAAATTAAGTGCCATATAACAATCTGTCGTCCTCTTCTTTTGTTTCAAATTCAGGAAATTTGAATTCTTTATCATATTTTTCACAGTCATTTGTAAGATTTCTGTCCTGTTTATGACATTGTCCTTTACTTTTGTACGTGTCGTTTGCTAGTATTGCAGACGATAAGTTATTCTTCCTCACAACGGCTCCTATTGACAGCGCTTTATTGGATTTTATGGAAGCATTGCTAAACCGACCATCTACCCACTTTCGGTTCCATTCTTTGCGTATTTCGTGCTGAACCTAAGAAAAAGTTATTGAATAGTCACATTAAATCTCAAAGACCTGGCAAACAAATTGTACAATAGTATTTTTCCCATTGTAAATTCAGGACAAAAACAATTTTAAGTAGTATAAACACTTTACTTACTTCTCCATTTAGAAAGCAGAAGAGCAGTGCAACGAGAAACCCCTGCAATGAAAATTCATGCGAGATTGTAAGTAAAGCAAGACAACATTTCATGTAATACATTGTGAATGACAATCTGTCGATCTCCACCATCCCATCCTCTTAAAAAGGTCATAAATATTTCAAACACTCTAAATTTGTTTTATCTCCACTTTAAAAAGCCAATCAGGAAACCTGTTTGTAGATATAAAATCTATCTAAGTACTTGTACCGGAATGAAAGATGGTAGCACGTTTTAGTGTCTGTACATTGTAGCAACATGGAATATATGGAATAACGAGCATCATTCAAGATCAAAAGTCCATTTAACACTTTACAAAATAAGAGCAGAGCAAACACGGACCTCCAAATCATCAGGGGCGGGATCAGGTGTCATGGAGGAGTTAGTATCCCCTGCCGATCAGTCACAGCCGCCGTGTGCTTCTAGTCACGAAAGGGAAATAACGGGAAAAATCTGTTGTCAATTCAGTGTGTATTATACTAAATAATTGCCTAACACTTAGTATGGAAAAGTAAGTCAGCATTTGACTCAATGATAAATTGTATTTGCTCACCAAGGTCATTGTCTCTACCATAAAACAAACGAAAGGATGACTTTAAATGAGACTGTTGATATATCCTAACTGACAACAATCTACAATCTTTTCACAATATACAATCAAACATTTAATATTTCGCTTTATATATTCAAACTGCATACCTGAAATGAATTAACTCCACTCTCCACATACAACCAGATAAGTTCCACACCTGGGTCCATACATTCTGGCATGACAACAGATATCATATAGTACACACCGAACAGGGGGATCAGGACCAACGTGGAGCGGGCCAGTTTTCTGTATAGGCCAAACAAATACAGAACATATAGCACATATATGAAATAGTATCAATCAAGTTATACAAATATCTGATTCCGATTGCATTATAAAACCAAAACAGCATTTTAATACGAAAAGCTTTAAGTGCTAATTTTCAAGGAATAATCATACGGAAGGAAATTTAAAGTTGTTTTGGTTTTTTATGCTAGAGCCAATTATAATTGATGTATCTCGTTATTTTTGTGAAATAAACTATAATATGAACAAAATATATACAGAATAACATAAAAGATTACTCAATTTAATAATTATTCGTAAGAAGTGTCGCCATTGCTTTCATTATCTTGTTGTTGACAAAGTGATCTTGTATGACATTGTATAATATACAACAAAAAGTTACCTATACCGGTCACAATCATTAGCATGAGATGCTTTCAGCTTCGTGAAAATAACACGTATAATGTTGATGAAGAATATGAAATTAATCTGAAAAAATATATAATTACTTAATATCTCATGTTATAAACGTTAGTTTGCAAAGAATTAAACGTCGAAATTTCAAATTTAGTTATCACCTTGAATTGAATCTAATGTTTCGGAAAATCAAATGGAGGTGACATTAACAAGACAGATTACGAATCGCAAATTAAATCTCTTTAAGAAACGCGAATAAAAAGATTACCACAATGGTGGCTACAATTGGTCCCCGGATGAGCCAAACAAACTTGTTTTCGGCATTATGAGTGCTCCAACACCTTCAAAAACATATAATTATTCAAATTCAAATTCTCATATTCACTACCTACTTTAAAACTATACGTACACTGTTGGGTAATAGTATTACCCTCATAATATGTAATTTATGCAATATACTCTTTTAACAATACCTAAGATTGTACTCTTTTGCAAAGAAAGATTGACTGATTGATTGTATATTGTTTAACGTCCCTCTCGAGAATTTTTCACTCATATGGAGACGCCACCACTTGCCGGTGGAGGGCTACAAATTTTTTGTCCTATGCTCGGCACTCAGGGTCTTTGAGCAGTGAGGGATCTTTTTCGTGCCAGCACCTACTGCGACAGGAGGCCTCGGTTTATACGGTCTCATCCGAAGGACCGGTTTCCACGTCCCGCAGTGGGATTCGAGACTATAGAGCAGACGCTCTAATCACTGCGCCACGCGGGCGACTGCAAAGAAAGAACAAATATTTGGGTGCAAGATGACGTCATTAGTTGTGAAATAGTCATTTATTTATCTACTAACAATAACTTTGGAAGACGTAATTACTTTTCTCTACAGAAAAGTAGAAAGGCAGGTATTATTTTTTTACTCATATGTATTATCACTGCTTTTACCTGTTCAGAATTATTTAAGTATATAACTATTTAGTGTACTTTTTTTCAATAAATCGAAAAACAAACCTCTTTTAACTGTAACAACTATTTTTTCAGGTTTGGAGACACACAATGAAACATTTGAAAATAACAATACAGTAACAATCGAAGTGAAATACTTTCGTGTGCATTGCTTATAATATAAACGTCCTTACATTGTATCTTCAAGATATCTTCTGACCAGGATCCAGGGTATCACAAAAATGACAGGTAACACTTCAATAAAAAAGGAAAATAAACAGTCAAAGGAAAGTGTTAATGGTACTTAAAATACACTGTACAGAAAGCTTGGACACTGTATTTGTAGTATCAGACAATAAAAACATTTTATTGACATGGTTGAAAAATATTTCTCTCACGCTGATATTTCTCTGCAAAGAATTGATTTTTTTAACCAGATAATTCGAGAAAGTTTATAGCTCATTTTTTTCATATAACATTTTGTGAGTGTTTAGATAGAAAAAAAGGTGCCAGAAAATTTGGTTTAAAATGATTTTCTCAACCTTTTTCTGACTTAATTTCTTTGAGCTTTCACAAAATGTCTTTACGTGACAGTATTGTGAAAGTAAACAAAACGTCTATGACCTTCCTATGTTGGCAATAAAGGCGACCTTCTTTACAAATTATGTACAGTAAAACACAGTTATAGCGAAGTCCTGGGGACCTGTGAATTTAATTCGCTATATCCGTAATTCGTTATATCCGTATAACGAATTCGTATAACCATATATAGCGAATTCGCAATATGCATGTTTTCTTTCAAGTGTTACTATCAAATATGTTAGGGAAGCAAATATTACAAAACATATCTTCGATAACAAAGGTTTTATTATGAATTGAAATTTATATACAAATGCTGAGAGAAAATAAAGTCAGTTCAATTAATCAAATTTTGAAACTTTGATAGTTCGTTATAAAAGATGTAAAATTCATTATATTAAACCTCAACGGGACTCAAAATCAGTTCGCTATATCCGTAAATTCGTTATATCAGAGTTCGTTATAACCGTAAAATTTTACAAAGATTTGTTAAGAAGTTTGCCGGGGACCCAGAAAAACTTCGTTATATCCGTGAATTCGTTATATCCGTGTTCGTACTAAACGTGTTTTACTGTATTTCATAATTGCTTTAAACATCCAGCTTACAAATCGGAAACATCATCGAGTCCGTTATTTGATTTCATCATCCACTGTAGCTATTGTCAATGCAAGGCTTATAGAAATGTGCAAAAAGATGGCTTTCACCGTGAGATGTTGGCCTTGCTTTCTACTGAATAACAAAAACCCATTAAACAGCGAACAATACGTACACCATCCCGAAATGATGTACAGGTAAAATCTTCTGCTTTTTTTAAAGGTTGACAGAAAAATGAGAGTGTTGAGATACAACCCTTCCATTAATATCCACATGTAGTTGGCCAATAGAATGTAGTTAAAGAATGTGAACACCAGCTTACAGGACCAGTTCTAATAAATATATAAGAATAAAAAGATCATGGATATGAAACATTTTCAAATGAGTTTTAAAAAGTAGCAAATAAGAAAACTACATATTGTAGGATGTTAAAATGTATGCTTAAAAATGTGTATTACACAGTATAAGAAAGTAAAAAAAAATTAAATTGCAGCGAGTATACTTTTACATTTGAAAGAAATTCTACATGAAATTAAAAAGGATATAATGAATTAAGCTTATAACGACGCGAAATTCTTGCGCCTAGCACTTTACACGAATTGATTTTAGTTTTCTCACACAGTATTAATAATCTTAACCTTTTTATCTTTATTATCAAGAAAATGTGTATTACCATAAATCCATGTTTTATGTCCCCTTCAAAAATATGTATTTTTATTGATTTCTTGAGAGGTTCACTGTTCGTTAATTTCACTTTTTTCATTTTTTTTATCTGGAAAAAGCTCTCATTATTGTAATTTTATACTTTTTGTTTCTATTCCTATAATGTCGTTTGTTCAAACCAACGAGAGAAAAAAAATCAATTTTTGAGAAAAGAGATTTTAATGACATTACAGTTGTATAACCAATGATGTAGATCAATGAGTTACCGTTCCTTGAGGAGTGAGAGTTGCTTTGTTGTTTATTACGGATGAGCGTCCTTTTGGTGTGTGGAAAACATCCTTAACAAGACAGATTATGGATCGCAGAATAAACGAAACGAATAAGTTAATGTGAATCAGGTTTCTTTGGCAATGCAGCCGCCTGAAAGTAACAAAGTAATAAGGTTCTTAACATTTAAATTATGCATCATAGAGCAACATATAAAATTCCTTGTTGAGTCCTCTTCTGGTCCATATTGATTAAGCGAATATGTTTGTTATCGTGGTTGCAGGAAATCAAATGAAACTGTTAATTTCATTATCATTTCTCATTCTCTTGTATTATAACTGGAATGATTAATATTCTGCATTTGTTTTGTTTCCTTCCTTCTCTTTCTTCATTATATAAATAGAGTGTGGTGCAAGCAGAATGCAGAGGAGTGCATTCTGTGCCAAATCAAAACTACTATTTGGGCAAAGTGCACTCAAAGCACAACGCTATAATTCTCCTTAAGCTTGGTTTTTAATGAAAAATGACAATTTGAATTAATCTCCTAAAGTGTTCAGAGGTCAAATTCCATCGATTTTTGCAAGCACATCAATGAATTGAATGTCACTATAATCCTTTTCTTCCTAGAACCAGGTTGTGCCATGGTGTGTAAACTTTTACCATTCCATGCTCAATACAATTAACTTGTCAGCAAATATATTTTATCATTGAGTTAAATGCTTACTGACGTTTTTCATACTCAAGTTTTTTTTTCACTGTGAACTTACGACGGATTTTCCATTTTTTCCCTATCCTGACAAGGAGCACACGGCGAGTGTGACCTGTGGACAGTTGATGCTCACTAATCTGTGGCACCTGATCCCACCTCTGATGTCTTGGAGGTCCGCTCCCCTCCTATCTTGTTTTGTTTATTGGACTTTTGAATTTTCACACTGTTCGTTATCTCCATATACATCATTCGACTCAATTTAAGACTCCTGCAGTACTCTGTAGTATTTATACATAAACACGATACTCTGGACCATGTAGTAGTGAGGGATCATATTTCTACACGCCAGATCAATTCTAAACTCGGCGACTTTTCACCTAATGGTCTAGCCACTGTGCCTTGCTGGCCATAACTCTAATGATAAACCTCTGCCAGTCACTTAATAAAATTATTTCTGAAAGGTCTTGAAAGCTGACTGAATGACAGGCTTCTATAAATCAATCATTTTCAGTAAAATTTTAATAACCATTAGTTTACTAAATTGCCAAGAGTTTTCTCGTGATTTTGTTTTACGTTTTGGAATGATTTAAATGACAAAGTCATGGATTATCTATCAGTGAAAAAATATAAGATCTGTAGATATGTATAAAGATAATATAACCATATCTTTGAAAGTTAAGGCTAAGTTTAATGTCATCAACAAAAATATAATCAGCATTTCAAATTTGACCGTGTTGCATGCTATGAGTGTGAGAAATCTGCCTACAAAACAAGTTTTGAGAAAATTTTGAATAAAGAAATATTTTGACAGAGAACGGTCATGTTCAGATGCCTGCAAGTTTAATGTAAATGAAGGTAAGAAAAATCAGTATTTTTTCTAATTCATACATAGGAGATTTATGCCAATATTGCAATGAAGCGTTGTTGATAGAGTGTTTAGAAACTCCGTTATTTTGGCTTTAAAGGGCACCTTTAGTCAAATATTTTCTTTTCGCTATTCAATAAAAATATTTTACCTATAAACACATGAAAAATCTGCACCTCTTTATCTGCAGTGGTTTAGCTAATAAAAACAATTAAATTTGACATTTTCTGCCTGCTCACGGAAACACACGAGGGTAAAAGCAGCAAAAACTCTCTTATCAGCTGTGGAATGTGAAACGTCACGAATGTGTCCCCGAGAGCCCTGTACCTTAAAATTAGCATCATGGCTTCACAAACAGATGACATTGAAATATTAGAAGAAAATGATATTTGGTTTGATTTGGATCTGGAGAAGGATTTAGATAATAAAGAAGATCTTAGTGACCATGAAGATAGAGATTTTGATGGTATTCATCTACTGGGACCTTGTCATTCTCCCATTCCAAGATGAGCCTTATGCAATGAAAAATTGTTAAAAAATTCATTGAATTCCAATAACTTTTGAACTTCAATAATATGGCAAAAAAATTTCAATACCATTTATGTTTCACAATTCTAGTTTGAAGCTCTTGGTCAGAAATGCACAAAAATATAAGAATTATTGCTTATCAGATATGAATAAATACACGTATAGGCTAATGAATTAGTAGTATGTTTTTGGTTGACCTCAGTTGTCAGTGGTGTAGAACAATATGCTATAAAATACATTTTGCAAATATTGAGCTTCAAAATGTGCAATAATGTTGGAATAAATTTTTACTTCTTTTTTCATAAAAAGGGAGTGATTAATTGAAAATCCCTCTTCAGTCAACTCGTTTATATGTGTAAATCTAAGAATTTCGACCTGTTGATTATGATCCAAACATTACATGAAATGTGTATTATGAATAAATATGTATAAGCTTTCCGGCAAAACATATCCATAAATTAAAAAAACTGAACATATAACACTGTACCTCCACCCCCTTTCTATCGCTTCAAAAACCTGTAGATGTAATATGTATGCATCCCCTATGTGTAATAATGTTTGAATAACAGTGTTACACAGATGTTTAAATATTCACTATAGAATGTACAGTGTATAAAATTAATAATTACACATTAAAAATAATGTTTCAGAGACTGGAAAATATGAAAAGTTTGTCATATTAATACAAAAAAAATGAGCTGATTAACAAACTTTGAATGATCGAGTTATTGTCTTTGTTATAATTTTTTAAACAATGTTGAATAAAATTCATATCAGACATACAGGAGTGCAACTCAAGATTATTACAAAGGGTCACTAAAAGATCTAAATATTATTTTTATATCAATTTTTTTAGCCTAGATTTAAAGAATTGACTAAACTGAACCAAAAAATTGAAAATGTAATTTTAGGGGAAATTATTATTTCATATTTCTTTCAACTTTTCAAACCAGAATTGAAAAAATAATGTAAAAAAGAACCCATTTTATTTTACATTATACACAAGAGAAGAAATTCAATTTAGGATATTTAATCATGTATATATCCCTGACACCATTAAAGCATACAAAAACTAGTAAAATAATTTCTTTTCATTATATATTTTAGAAAGTCTTTTAGGATGTAATGATAAAAAAAAATAATGTTATAAAATTAATACTAATGAAAATTCTGAAACTTTTTTTTATGCATTTGTTTATTATATTGCCATTTCAGAATTGTTTAAAACTATAGAATGCATGTACAGTATGATGATACAATTAAAAATGTGTTATGGTCATTTTTTCATTTACACTCAATTTGGTGGTCATTATTTTTGATTTCACCTATAAAAAGAATCATCAAAATGTAACTCACACAGGCTAAAATATCAGGTAAGCCCCTAAGGCCATTTTCTCTTGAGCCTAACAAAGACAGTCCACTTGAGTTCAAGATTTGGTTTCTTTTTAAATGGAAGATAGTGCATCCATCTAAATGTGTACTCGAACACCCACCCGCTACACATCTTCTACCCCTTTTTGTTTCACTGTGAGTATCAGAGGACATGTTTATTTACATGCTATGTAGTATACAACATTGAAGCTGTCTCTGCATCTGTTCACATTCTTTACGTCACGCAGCTGATAACAGCGGAAACTGCCGAGCTCAGATTACTTTCGCCGAGCATTTGACATTTTAATGAATTTCAGCTAAACCACACATCTTACAAACGTGATTTTTTCAGGACTGGATTTTCAATAAGCAAATAAATATTTTATCAAAACAATATTTTTTGACTAAAGGTGCCCTTTAAACAATGCCATAGTTTAAATCACATGAGAAGAAAAAACAAACATAATGGCTTGTTTTTTATATTGTAGTCTTTTTTTTAATTCTGAATCGTTTTAATATTTTTTTTTAACAGTATCTGCTCAAAATATTGTTAAACACTTTTTTCTTAAACGAAGAGATTTTCTGTTTTGCTTACCTGAATCCTATCAAAAAAGCAACTGCAACAAGAAGACATACCAAGGACACGCTATATCCTACGAATGAGAATGTATCTATCACCGGGAGATGGCGCTATATTAAGATAAAACATATTTAAAGAACAGTGTCAAAAGTTAAAAGATATGTTTTCATTAGTGTAGTCATTTATGATCATACATTTTGGTTGATAAAAATGCCTTTCTTGAATTCATGAGTAAAACATGTCAGAAGAACACTTAGTTTGCAAAATCCGGAAATGTGAGTACCATTAAAGTTCCATTTGCACCACGTGAATCGTCTTTATTCTGACAGTCCGTAAAATCCGTCCATGTCTGGTTGAAGAAGGGGTGTACATACCACATTCCATTCGGTAAACATCTTCGTTTTGCCTTAGCTAAATGGGAAAAAAAATAAGCGCTAAATACAATAATTTTATCTTCTGAATACATTTGTTCTATATAAATAAATATAGATCAATATTTTATAATTGTACTTTTGATAGCTTTCCCAGCAGGCAATTGACGTCTTTAAGACGTTGGTAAAACGTTGTGCCAAGACGTTGAAATGACGTTGCAAAGATATTGAAAATGAAAGTTTTTTAGACGTCATTTTCATACGTCCTCTAGACGTCATTTTATAGACGTTGAAGTGACGTTGCAAAGTAGTTGATAATGAAAGTTTTTTAGACGTCATTTATTCACGTCCTTGAGACGTCATTAAAGACGTTGTACTGACGTTGTAAAAACATCATAACAGACCTTTTTTTCTGAAATCTTCAAAGACACTAACTTTTATATCCTTGACAAGTTGTACAATTTTTTTTTTTGTTACAAAATCAGATACAAAACTACACTGCATTTCAAGTGACAGCCTAAAGTGTAACAATCTTAAAATTACAACAATAGTAATTATTTTTTATCATTTTATTACTGAAAAAAAAACCCAATAAAATTAAGATTTATCATTGAAAACACATAATGGCTTTTTCCATAGATCATATCACATTCAACCCAATTTGAAATAGAATGTTTTTAAATGATCATGCAAAATTCTAAAATATAAATCTGATAGCACAGAACAAATACTTAAAATTCTGTACTTCTTACAGACTGTGTCATTAAATTTTATGTATATCTTGAATATCATTTTCTTGATATGAGGAATAAAGAGTGTAAATTGTGTAACCGGGAACAGATTTTTTAAAACGCTTAATCTGAAGTTGTCTCTTTTCCTCTTCCTCCCCCTCCTCTTCTATCTGGGGCATATTTTAAGACAGCTGCGATGTTTTGTGATATTTCATGCTCTGTGGCTTGAAATCTCTTCAAGACTGCACCTGGAAAAAGAAAAAAATACACTACAAAAATATAATGATTAGTTAGGATGAAAATCAAACAATATATATATATTCATTTTATACAATTTTACCATAATCTGAACACACACACCAAAAAGGGCTGTTCGAATAATTTACAAAAAATTCTCTGTATCTCTATACCTTTGACAATCTCGCATAACTGAAATTTGGCAAATGGCTCTTTCCCTTTGTGTCCTTTCATATTAAACTTGGACATCAGATCATTGGACATCACTCTGTAATGTGAAAACAAATAAAACCATGATTGATTCTAGAATGAGTAACCATTTGCACCTTAACTGATACTGAATTAGAACCAAGCAAAAGGCACTAGTATTATCAAACAATAAGGGAAAACAAGATGAAAATTATGAATACTTACTTTTGCAAAATTTTCTTTGTGCCATCCCTAGCGTTTATACCTCCAACACTTGACAGTCTCTGGGACTAAAAAAAGGATGTTTTTTTTTTTAAATACTACCTGCCAGAAAGCGTGATGAATTAATTTTTAAATAAATTAATTGTTCTTCTTTGTTGGTAAACTTATTATTTTAAAAACTTCATTAAAATCAAATATGTTTACTAGCTTGTGGCGTTCCCCGCTATTTTCTTTCAACTTTTCCTCCAAGTTGCAGAATTCTTCCATGCTCGTAATTTGTTGGAAGGTTGTCCCATCATCTGCGGCAGCCTGCGTAGAGCAAGGGGATTTCAAAGCCCTAATGTCTTGCCTCATTTCTGTTAGCAGAAACATCACTCTCTTCTGAAACTCTAATATCAAAGTTTAAACTTCATTAAAAATCATGTTTGAAAACAGTAAATGGTACGAAGAAATATAAGGGTTACTCTCTGTATATACTTACTTGCATTATCCATTGGGAATGTACCAGAATCCTTTCTTGAGCTTTTTTCTGGTGATTTTGACCTGGAACGCCTCCTTTGAATTGGATGATCTGATCTGCTCCCACTTCCAGACCCGTTTCTTGGTTTTTTCAATTGAGTGGGAGGAGATTTTGATCTACTTCTGTAGATGCGTAATGTGGATCCCTTTGTTCTTTTTGAAGGCCTTTCTTTTCTCTTCTTTTGGTAAGGGACTTGGGCATCTTGACAAACTTTTCCTAAACCAGTCTGAGGAACTTGATCTGCTTCTAGAGTAGGTTGATGGATTCAATGAAGAGTTTCTTGAGCTTTTTTCTGGTGATTTTGACCTGGAACGCCTCCTTTGAATTGGATGATCTGATCTGCTCCCACTTCCAGACCCGTTCCTTGGTTTTTTCAATTGAGTGGGAGGAGATTTTGATCTACTTCTGTAGATGCGTAATGTGGATCCCTTTGTTCTTTTTGAAGGCCTTTCTTTTCTCTTTTCCTTTGGTAAGGGACTTGGGGATCTTGACAAACTTTTCCTAAACCAGTCTGAGGAACTTGATCTGCTTCTAGAGGAGGTTGATGAATCCGATGAAAAGTTTCTTGAGCGATCACTTGATTTACTGTTATGAACTTTTGGTGGCGGCGTGGGCAATAAAAGACTCTCTAAAGATATACCAAGAATCTACATGTATTTACCAAGTTACATTTTCCCTTGTCTTTGAAGAGTTGTTAAAATTGTTAAAATACATCTTGTAAATATTTAAATCAATAATAAACGAAATTGTAATTTCTACATTTAAATCTTGTATTACCATTCTTTCCCTTGGAATTCTTTCTTTCTTTTGTTACTTGAACTTTTCCTTTTCTCTCATCTCTTTCCTCACCTTACAAAGAAATATTCAAATTTACATTCACATTTCATAATAGAATGTAACATTCTTAAATAAACAGTCATCTTTAATACATAACGTTATGAAGATTCACCTACTTTTATTTTCTTCCTCCTTTTTTTGTTCCTCTTCTGCAACGTCACCTGGTTTTTACAAAGATTAAAATCATAATAAATAATAAATTAATATCATAATTATCTGTAGTACAATATATAACAAATACAATTATGATTTTACTAAAAGGTATATTTTTTAAAGCAGAATAACTGCTATTCACAATATCAATTAATAACTTACAACGATCATCAGTTATAAAATCATCAAATTTTTTCTTCTTTTTCTGTCTCTTTTCTGACTCCTGGTCAGCATGGTCAGCATCAGTGTCTAAACATGTGGTGTCAATGTTTTCACACTCCTCAAAATTCTCTGCAAGTAAAGACATGTCACAATAGTATTTATAGAAAATAAAATTTTGCTATTAGTGCAAAATTTAAATGTTAGCATTACAGACTTAAGTGATGATTACAATTCCATTTTCATGCCTTAATTTTAAACCTCAACTCCACATTTATTTCTATGTTTCATTGAAAAATATCACTAAGGCCATCATTAAACTTCTTATTGTTTAATTTACGGTCACATATTTTTCAAGCTGTATAAGTATGCAGGTGTCTTGTATCAAAAATTTTACTACGTACCTGATTGATGTTTAACCTTGATCAGCTTAAATTTCCGCCATGTGTCTTGGGGATCCTTTTTCTCCCTCAGTGCCTTTGCTGCACTCACACCTGGTGGCCACATCACCATTCCCTCCCTTATCCATGATGAGGGTATAACTGCTTCCTCCTCCTGATCTCTTTCCAACCACACAGCTCTAGACCACATTCTAAATTTCAAGATAATTATTACAAAAATTAGATACATAATACATTGAATAATTTTAAATTTCCAGTTAGTCCATGCAGAATACTAATTCTTAAGAAAATGTTAGTGTAACAACAGAAATAAAAAATGCATTTTGACTTTAGTTTACTTGCCTATGTATCTATTAATGATCTACTTCAGGCCCATGCAGCAGTGGGAAAAGAACATATCCTTGATGATACTTTATACATGCAACCTTCCTGGTGATATATTTATGCTTGATCACTTTGCGAACTCCTCTATGGAAATTTCGAATATACACAATGTTTATGAGTTTTGAATCGCATGGAGTCCTGAAAAAATTTTCTGTTCTTGACTGTGGTATCACGGTACAAATAAAGGAATCATCTTCCGTCTTTTCTAAAACAAATCCATAACTTTCATCCTCCATCTGAAAACACCAATTTTTTTTTTTGGGAGACACAAATATTCTGTTTGTTGTTTTTACATTGCCCTTTCTGTTTCCTGCCATCTCAATTTCAGTCAGTCGTTTGCAGACCTGAACAACAGGACTTCTGGCATTTCTTACTAATCGTTTAATGGTTTGTAGATGATTTTCATAAGGAAAGCTGGAAATCTCATTTAAGGAGCATTTAAAGTTTCTTACATCTTCTGGTAAATGCTTCAAGCAATGTACATTGTACACGAGGAATGTTTCTGAGTAAATTTCAATGCTTTTATCGACAAAATAATCAATAAGCTGCTGAGCATATTCCAGATAAGACAATCTCTTATGCTGATCACTATTAAGCAAGATAGACATTGCAACAGTCAAGCACAGAAAATGTTCATACATTGTCTCTGTAACAATGTTCTTTAAAACAATAGGGCCAGTGTATAACAGAAATTGTCGAAATTCAGTGGCTTTCCATCGTTCAACCTCAAACATTGATCTTGGTTGTCGAGCAAACTCACTGGGTAGTTTTCCAGAAAGGGACTGCAATTTCTTTGAAATGTCCGATATTTGTTTGTAGGAAAGTCTGCAAAGAGTTGGCCCCTGCTTTAAAAAGTAAATAATTCTTTTGACAACTCCTAGGCACACAAGGTGCATGTAATCTAAACAAAAAGTTTTGACACATGGGATGTTATGTTCAATCAAAGGACTGACACTTGTTTGGTGATTTTCATAAGCGACCAATGAAAACTCTGCATCTGTCCTTAAGGAACATTCATCCTTTGAATACAAAATAATTCGGTTATTTTTCCAGTATCCTTTTACTGTGCATCTTTCACAAGCATAATAACCAGTGTGCCCCTTGATCCCTTTCAATAAAGCTCTAGCTGGTGCATCACAAATAAATGCTTTAATATTTACTTTAATGTTAACTCTAGGCTCCTCAAGCTGTAATCCATTAGTTTTTAACTGAGAGTATTCCTCTAGAAAATCTTCCAAGAATTCGGACACAGAACTGGGTTTGCTATTTCCATAAAATATTGCAACTAAAAAGGGTTTAAAGTTTCCAAAACTGCATAGAATTGGCCAAAACTGCATTGAAGATGACTTAAAGAGAGGAACCCCATCAATGTTAATATTCAATTCAACAGAATTCAGGTTTTGGGAAACACAATCTACATTATCTTCGATTACATTTTTTATCCCA